CCGGACGAATTTTTTTTTTTTTTACTTTTTGAAGAAAATGCAAGGGGCAAAATTGTCCAAGGGGGCGGTGAATAGCGATTGAGTTTTTTATTTGTGGTAAGAGACATTTTAACGTGAGTGGTATATACATAAGTTCATTCAAAAAGCCATTACTATACCTCACTTTATGAGTCCATCCATTCATGGCGATACACACTTTATCTGTTTATCACTACATAGATGAATTTTCCAATTCCATCCTCTTCCCACATACAGCGGCCGCCTCTACTCGTTTCTGAGTTTCTTGCAAAATCTCATTCTTTTCACCTATCGTGAATTCCAACGATAAGAGTACACTTTTCCCTCCCTCGCTCAAACCCTCTTTTGGTCCATCTTCAAATTTCGCTCCAATTGAAAATGATGAAAAGGGAGAACACGAACTTCTTCGTCCCTGCCAGCTGGGCCGCTCCTCTCTCGCCGCCTGATGCTCCGCCGGGCTTCCCGCCGAAGCCGCCCCGAAATTGCGCCTCGCCCGCCTCAGCTGATACGTTGGGGAACCATAACCCGGCGTCCGGGGTGGGGACGGTTGGCGGCGGCGCTTACAGAGATGGGTCTGTTTCCCCTGAACGGCTGTCGCCTCGCCGTACTTTGAGGAAAAGATCGCGGCCGCAGTTCTACAGCCGCCGAAAGCTCAATTGAGGTCTCCGCTTTGTAAGTGTGTGTCGTATTGGCTTAACTGCTCTCCTGCTTTTATGCGGTCATTTCGGTAATTTTGAATCTTGTTCGATTTGGATGGCGTGCTTGCCCGTAAAATATACTGCCTAGCAAATATTCGATCACTTGAATTTTGATATTTCTGCAGTTTTTTCATCCCAAAGTTTTAGTAAGTATCAAAATACGGTTTAGGCTCAGTTGTGATTCTTGCTTTGTAAGTGTAGCAAAGGCAACATTGTTTAGTCTTGTAAAAATACAATCTTGGTCCTTTGAGTATGAAGAGTTGAAGTTTATGGCTTATTAAGCATTCTATTTAGCTATTTGTGTCATGTAGGGTTGAGATCCGACGTATTCACACGGCATTTTACAAAGGTGACCGATGAGAAAAGAAGTGACAAACATTTTATATTTATTTGCAATCACTGTCCGCCTAACGCCAAGAGAATGTACGCTTACAAAACCGGCGATGGATACGGAACGATGCAACGGCACATACGGATACACCATCCGGCCGAAATGGGGATCCTCACGACCCAAAAGCAATTCCCGAGGACTGGAACAAGTACTTCTTCTACTTTATTTCAATACTTTCATGAAAACCATACACGTAATCTGGCTGAATTTGTTCCTGCTTCGTTTCTTCCTTTCGATTTTGGTGAGATTCTGATTTCTTCAAGACACCTTGGCTTGGTGATTCTTCAAGACACCTTATCTTGGTTTGTACCAATATCAGCTGGTTGAAACTTGTGTGATGTTCTTTGATGAGGTGTTTCTTTCCCAGGTTCATTCTTAAGATTATGTTTCACTTATCTGTTATTGTCTGTTTTATTCCTAGTTTATTCTTGACTTGCAGCACGCAAAGAAACAGAAACGGGAAATCCAAATATGGCCTCGCCGATGCCATCTCAAAAGCTACAAGAGCACTCGTTTTGCTTTTGCTCTAGTATTGAATCTCCTCAGGCCAGTAAGGAGCTACCAAGCTCAGATACAGAGAGTCAAGTAGTTGAAGAAGGCCTACAAGTTCATTTTCCTCCATCAAATCCTCACTCATTAGATCGAAAAGTGAACATGAAGCGAGAAACCCACGATTTTGCTGTCAGTGAAAACCAAGATGGAGCCACCAAGAGATCTTCTTTTCAAACCCACTGTGTTTTTTATGACTCGAAAGTAGATATAGCGCGTACGCTTGAGGCCATTAACAAAAAGCACGGGGATATAACTCGGGGCTGTGTATTGGAGTCTGATTGCATGAAGACCCTTGTCTTGCTTGGCATCTGTAAAGTGGTGCACGACCTAGAAAAGAAACAATTAAAGGACGTTGATCGTGGTGACTTAGATTCTTATTAGAGTGCCGTGAGAGATGCAGAAAACATGAAGGTGAACATGAAGTGATTGCGTGACCGACTTGATGAAATTAGAGATGCTATTGAATTAACCGATGAGGAGAAAGTCTTGGTAAATGAGAAGAATGCACGTCTTGCGAATATTGATATGAAGAAGAAAGAACTTGAACTGCGTAAAGTTGAACTGGAGAAGATCAAATCTGAAGTTGAGGATCTTGAAGCTTGTTTGGCTCGAGAGGTTGTGATGGTAGAAGAGTTGAATCGAACAATTGGTGCACATCAATCAAGATTTTCGAAGTTTCAACACAAGTACTTGATGGAAGGACTAATTTAAATTAACTGCACGTGCACGTGCTACTCATCTGCGAACCATGTGTAAATAATGCTTATATTGTTAAATTGTCTTGTGCATTTTTGCAAAACCAAAAAATAGAGATGCTTCTGTTGTGGCTGTGAGTAATTTGGAAACCGAGCATTTTGCTGGACTTCTCTGCAAACGTGATTAGTTACATGGTGAGTTCCGCAATTTCACATGGGCTGGTGTCTAATATCAGGAAATTCTCATGTATCTCCAGGTGATTTGCAAAGTAGTCATTTGCTGTAATCGACTTTAGGAGTTGATGTAAATGTGTCGTGCTTTTAGGAGTTGATTGAGCTAAATGATTGTACATTCACATGTTAAAGGGCATATAGGGATTGTTGAACTATGGTCTATATGATGGCTTACATTATATACCATTTGATCTCAATCTGGAGGCACATTCAAAATCTTATTTGATTAGGATACCGACAATTACATTATGTAACAAGTGTAATCAGACTAATTTCACCACACAATGATTGTGCATAAACTCTGGTGAGGCCAACTAATTATCTTGTAACATAATGAGAAAAATACATGTTACACACAATCTCCAATAGGTGAAAATAGAGTTTTACTTGAATTAAATTAATATCTGAATCACGGAGCAATCTCCACACAGATTTTCTTACNAAAAGATATATCACGGGAAGATTATGGCTTTATCCTCTGCAACAATATCTCTGCTTCAATGAATCCCCCAAATGGCCCTAAAGACAAGTACTTCAGAGCTTTCCATCTGTTTCAAGATTTTATCATTGCATGAGATACATAAGCACCTCAAAGAAGAAACAATAAAACACACACACACACACAAAGAGAAATAGAATTTGAAAGTGCCCTAGTAACTGTCATATATCAACGGGCTCACCTGGGAATAAATGGAAGTGCAAAACAATGAAGATGCAGGTGATTGACACTGTTAAATGGAGGCTGGTGAAAGCCAAATCTGATAATGGAAAACCGGGGGCTGATGTCAAATTGCATTTTAAAAGTGAAAAAATTTGCAAAAAGAGATGTTGACACGAAAAAAGTTGGGAGATTTTTTTCCAACCGTAATCCAATTGGCTTGCTAGGAACAAGTACTATGTATAGTTTTCAAAAGTTATCACATTTAAGCAATAAGGCAGATTTGTTCCCAATGCAAAATCAGCATGGTGCAAACTGTATCTTTCTCGGTACAAAAATAAATTCTCAAAGCAAAGATAGCCGAATTATTGAAGACGAATGTAAAATACTACGATCCCATTCAAAGAATTAGAAAGGCGTACCTATAATGGTTTGCATGAGGCGCATCTCGATTTAAAAGGCTCTGACCAACTTCTAACATATGACAGACTACAAGGATAAGGAGAGAATACACTTACAAAAGATAAGATAACCAAACGTGAAAGTGGGATTCCTGAACAAGCAACAAAATACCCATGTTACCTAATGAAAAATCTTCAGGGCTCTTCTTTAGGTCTCTGACAGTGGGTATGTGTTTGATTGGAATCACCAAATAATGCCTGATTTACAATGTGTAAATTTGTGGATGTTTAAGAAAAGGAACTACCGAGTTAAGTAACCATAACAATGCTTACATCAGACAGTTCATGATTTATGTGTACCAATGATAGAAATGCTTCTCAATAACTTCAGATATTAAAGTTCATAACAAAAATTTCCAAGATTAGTACCATTACTACACATATAGTTATCTCAATAACTTGCACAGTTGCACTCACAAAACAATTAAGCAAGTTTACAACATATCAAAGACCCCAACCAGATTAGGCTTGATATGAAGAGCAGTTCATATTGTCTTGAACCACAACATGACATTTCCATTTCCTTTGATTTCATGAGAGAAAAAGCTAACGGGTTCCTCATTATTCAGACTATGATATTCGATCAAATATTTTATGTAGAAAAAGAGAAAATGATTCGTTCCAACCTGTAATAAAATGCAGTCATAACAATTTTTTTCTGATAAAACGCAACCTGTAGTGCACTTATTTTCACATATCACAACCTCTAGAACTGAAAATGCAAAAAGATAGTTGGAAAATG